CGGAATTGAAAGAATAGCTTATGTTATGAAACTCAGATTACCAGAAGTTATAAGATTTAAAAATGAAAAAAAAGAAATCCTACAAAGGTAGCGATACGAAAAGCATTGCAGTACAAAAAAGTAATAGCTATGATGAGAGCGGTGTCAAAGTGATTTGGTTTCAAAAAAGATTCTCAAATTAGAAAGAATTAAAAGTAGATCCAGGTACTCGAAAACATGTTCGAAGTGAATCACAGAGGCTGCTCGCTTAACGACAATGATCCAGCAGTTCCACCAGCGTTCGTCGTCCTTTCGTTGAACGGCGCCCGCCAGCGTCGAAGCGTTCATTCCGAAGAGGCGGAGCCATTCGGCTGTACGCTCTGCACTCGACACCGCGCTTGTACTATAAACAAGTCGCGATGAACCCAAAAACAGATGAGAGGGGCGTGGGCGATGACGTTGCCCTTCTGCGAGCGGCGCTACCGTCTTCCGAACGCTGCAAACGTTCGGATGCCATACACCAAGACATGGATGAGTTGGGTGGGATGTGTTAGTCAGTGATGGTCGAATAGGGCAGGTATAGCTGTAGCTGGGGATATCCCCAATTAGGAGAAAGGACAAGAGGATAAAGTGCAAAAATTTGCAGACCTTCCTAGAGAAAACAGAAATCATAACCGACTCCAGCAGCTCAACGCAAAAGTGGAGAGTTTTGGAGAACTTATGCATTCTACTCTGCTATCCTCAAGTATATGTCTTAGTGGATATTTTGAACACCGAACCCATTAAACTGACAAAAGGTGGAACCAAAGAATGGAAATAGAATATTCTGTGAGCAACGAACGTCATCTCAACATTGCACTGCTTTCAGCTATAATTAGAAGATGTAAAAGCGGAAACAATAGACGTATGTTCATATGTGGTTGTCTGAATCAGGTGACGTCCCTATAGCAAACGACTATACATATATGGACATTCCGACGCCAGCATGAAACCACTAATTATACATTTTGTGTTGTACAAGATGAATTAGACGTAGACACGCTTCTCTAGGGGGGTAGCTGAAAAAAGTGGGGAGAAA